TGCTCTTGCTTGAGGTTTTCTTCCCAGTCAGACACTTCCTGGTAGCTCTTCCCTTCTCCTTGGGGCTCCTCTTCCTCGCTGTCTTCGTCCCAGTCGGACACTTCCTGGGAGCTCTTGCCTGCTCCAGGGGACAGCTCCTGCTCCCTGCGCTCTTCCCCTTGGCACACTTCTTGGGAGGTTTTCCTTTCTGCTGGGGACAGCTCTTGGTCTCCCTCATCCTCCCACTGGGAAATCTCCTGGTCAACATAGTATTTCCAGTCTTGGCCCTCCCCAGCCAAGGCCCCCTCCTCGGTGCCTTGCCCTGACAGGAATGACCCCCTCTCTGCCTCCTCCTGCTGCTCCCTGAGAGCCTGGCCTTCCAGGCTGGCAGCTGAGGAGCTGGGGGGGCTGCAGGGGCTCTGTGGGGCAGGGACTGGGCTCCCTTCCCCGTCTGCTGTAATTGCTGTTCCTGTTTCTGTGTCCGTGCTTTCTTCCAGGTCTCCCTGTTCTACCCGCTCGCGGCCAGATCCCTGGATCTTCAGCTTAGCCTTGCTGAGGAATTCACTGCTGCTGGACTGGTCTGTGTCCAGCAGGGCCTGGCTGCCCTCTGAGGGGCTCTGTGGGGCAGGCACCGGGCTCTGTGTCCCTGCTGATGGCACCAGCTCCCCAGAGGCTGCAGAACCTTCTGCCTTTGTCTCCTCAGGAGCCAGAGGCCCCTGGGGCTCCTCCTCCTCAGCAGCTCCGGCCGGGGCAGCAGCTGCCGGCTCGGCCTCCGTGGGAGTCAGCGGGGCAGGAGCTGGGCTGGGCAGCTCACGGGCTGCCTCTGCTGCCACCTGTGTGCCCACGCTGCTGGCAGAGCTGGGCCCCTCCTGGGCAACAGCCTGGGGGTTCTCCTGCTTCCCTGGGCCCAAGGTCTCCTCAGAGAGATTGGAGGGGATGTCCTCTTCCCACGGGGACAGCTCTGGCTCTCTGACCTCTTCCCCTTGCTCAGGGCATGATTTCCACTCCTCCTCCCCAGCCAAGGTCCCCTCCTCAGTCTCTTGCACTGACAGCAGTGACAGCACTGACCTCCCCTCTGTGTCCTCCTGCTGCTCACTGGCCACCAGGACTTCCAGGCTGGAAGCCAAGGGGCTGGCAGTGGAGCAGGGGCTGTGTGGGGCAGACACCAGGCTCTCTCTGTTTTCTTCTGCTGGAACTGTTTCCAAGTCTGCAGCTGTGCTTTGTTCCAGCTCTCCCTGTTCCTCCAGCTCCTGGCTGGATCCCTGCATCTCAAGCTCAGCCTTCCTCAGGATGTCAGTGGTGATGAGCTCGGCCATGTCCAGCACAGCCTGGCTGCCCTCTGAGGGGCTCTGTGGGGCAGGCACCGGGCTCTCTGTCCCTGTTGGTGTTATTTGCATTTCTGCAACCCTGGTTTGTTCCTGGTCTCCCTGTTCCATCAGCTGCTCGTCAGATCCCTGGATCACAGGCTCAGTCTTGCTCATCTCAGTGGTGATGATCTCAGGTATGTCCAGCATGGCCTGACTTCCCTCTGAGGGGCTCTGTGGGGCAGGGACTGTGCTCTCTGTCCCTCCTGCTGTTTCTTGCATTTCTGCATCTGGGCTTTCTTCCTGGTCTCCCTGTTCCATCAGCTGCTGCTCAGATGCCTGGATCACAGGCTCAGTCTCATTCGGGATCTCAGTAGTAATGTCCTGCTCTGTGCCCAGCAGGGCCTGGCTGCCCTCTGAGGGGCTCTGTAGGGCAGGGATTGGGCTCTCTCTCCCTCCTGTTGTTTCTTGTGTTTCTGCAGCTGTGCTTTGTTCCTGGTCTCCCTGTTCAATCAGCTGCTGCTCAGATCCCAGGATCTCAAGCTCAGCCTTCCTCAGGATCTCAGTAATGATGAGCTTGGCCATGTCCAGCACAGCCTGGCTGCCCTCTGAGGGGCTCTGTGGGGCAGGGACTGGGCTCTCTGTCCCTGTTGGTGTTATTTGCATTTCTGCAGCCCTGCTTTGTTCCTGGTCTCCCTGTTCCATCACCTGTTGCTCAGATGGAATCACAGGCTCAGTCTCGCTCAGGATCTCAGTGCTGATGGGCTCGGGTATGTCCAGCACGGCCTTGCTCCCCTCTGAGGGGCTCTGTGGGGCAAGGACTGCGCTCTCAGTCCGTGTTGCTGTTTCTTGCATTTCTGCATCTGGGCTTTGTTCCAGATCTCCCTGTTCCATCAGCTGCTGCTCAGATCCCTGGATCACAGGCTCAGTCTCGCTCAGGATCTCAGTGGGGATTTGCTGCTCTGTTTCCAGCATGGTCTGGCTGCCCTCTGAGGGGCTCTGTG